TTACCAAACTTTTTAATGATATTAATCGTTATAAATACATTTATTACTAATATGAAGCTTAACAGTATAATCAATATATCATGTTGAGCGGTGCTGTCACTATTTGTAGTCTTGTGTAATAATAACAGTACATCGTATGTGTTCTCCCCTACCTCGCTTGTCGTCGCAGCCGAATCCGATATTTTTCGATGCACCCTGTATTAAGGTTCTAAAAAATTCTGACCGACCTGTATGTCCCTGCGACCAGTGGGGTTAGCGCCATTTGGGACACGTCTTGCTATATGCGATAAGGTTACATGCCGTTTTTTGTTAAGTCACATGATATCAGTCTGACTACATGACTACACCTGTGACCCATGAGCGACTCCCACACTTGCCATGTGAATGGGGCTTATCTCGATCTGACGATATACCGTCGGTCCATCGGTCCGTCGGTAAGCGGCCCTGTTGCCATGCGACACATGATCAGCGCGATCCTACAGACAGGTGCGACAAGAAATCTTGTGTGTGGCGCCATCCAGCGCGAGATGCAGAACTCATCAATGACGCATGACGTTTGTGTATGGCGCCATCCAGCGTGAGATGCCCAATTCATCAGTGACGCATGACGTCATCCTCTATCTCTCTCCAATGCATTGATCCGCCGCACTCTCTCTCTATCACATTGATTTCCCCATACGTGAGACTGAATTCTTCTAGTATATCTACTCACCCCAGGGGAAAATTTCCTCCTCCCGCTCTACAAAGAGTTTTGAGGACTGATACATTCCTACGATATGTTCTGTTGGAGTTGTTGTCTGCCTTTCAAAGAATTTCGTGGGCCCGAAAATTCCTGCAGACGCCCATGATAATTTGTAGGATAGATGTCAAAGACTTGCCTTGATCGAAACATTAGCATCCATACAAAAAACATCGACATCGGAATCATCGATGTTGTTTGCCCAACTCTAGCCAAACCGGAGAACACAGCAAATTGGGACTGTCCTCAGGACTAATGAAGGATTATGTCGGTTGAGACGGAGGATAGCGGACATGCTGATTTTAATGAAACGAAATCCTTTTAATTAAGATTGTTTAGGTGCATGACCAACTCTAAGTCGGAATTTGCAGGGTGTATTAGATGTGTATAGTAGTCGGTAGGTAGAAGATTTAATGCCAGTGAGGAGCTTTGGGCTTTGTTAAACCTTAGTTTCTGTATTCTGACTTCCCTCAAATAGATTCATTAAGGTAGCATTGTCTAACAAATGGATATTCTCGTACCCACATCAGTAGCAATGGAGGATGATGTACGAAAAGTACGAAAATGGTAAGTATGGCTAAGCCTGAAAAGTTGGAAAGCATTGGGTGATTTAGGATGGCAAGAGAAACAATCTCGGAGAAAATTAACAGCAGAGCGCAGACTATAAAAAATGGTGTCATGTTGATTAACGTTTACACAATTAAAGACATCTAACTGTTTTAATTTCTGGGTATGCACAAATTCTTAGTCAAGTGGTATACTGTAGATGTTGGTGTTTTTGTCAAAATTGAGTCCCAGTAACCGTAATTTTGCTAAACTCTTTGAAGGGTATGCTATAAGATTACAGTGATCGTGCTACTGCATTTTTGAAACCAGTACAGTGGTGGTGGAGCTTTGAGAAAATTATGATGTGAAGGTCCTGAAACTTCAATTTCTCATATTTCTGATAATGTTTAGTGGCAGTAATCAATATCTCCTTGAGTTAATTCCTTCTTAAGTATCCTTAATCTACACAAACGAAAGCTCTACTACAAAACTATTTGATGTCATTTTTTATATTAGCTTTAGCAAATAACTTGGTATTTAGAAAATCGAATATGTAATGAGCTTTCGACTAAGATATGCAGTTTGATTAGGCCGGAGAGATGAAAGTAAGGAGTAATCAAAAATAAACCATGAACGTCCAAATATATTTCCATGAGCTAATTTCGCAAGTGTAAAATACGTCTGCAGCAACCACCCACGCGCAAAATGCATTTCATCTGTGTAGTGCCGACCGGATAAATATTTCCATTTAACGATGTGCCTCGTTGGAATTTATCCCTTCGTTTTTACACAACAAAAATCTATTAATAAGTCAGTAAAATAAGTCGCTGAGACGGTAAACCACGGAATAAGAGGTGATAAGATTTAAATTTTTTTGACCTCTTTACATGCTATAACCTGGGACAAAAATCTAATATAATCTCTTGTCGGGTTTTTCAAGGTGATATTTCTAAAAAACCGGTGTCAGATTACTCAGCTCAGAGTGCTTCTCTTCGTTTTACTTCCTAAGCCAATACTGTATTGTTATCTCGAAAAATTGTGATATTATATTTTGTTGTTTGTTGTATGACATGTACGTCATGAAAAAACATGTCACTCATTTCCGTCGGTTTGTCCGCTAATTTTATAACCGCCTATAACTTGAGGAGTACCGCTCGTATTTTGATGGAAATTTCACACAAGATTACTAATATGCCAGGGATGAAAAAATAAAAATCGTATTATCGTTTCTTGACGTTTTGAAGGCTCCTGACGTTTTTAGAAAAGTCAGTAAAAACATTATTGTGCCTCCCCAGCCTTCTTATTTGCATGACTGGAGTCCGTGTGTCATTTTTATCTTCCCGAAGTTGAAAAATCGCCTCAAGAATTTCCTTTGGGGCATTCAGGCTCATTCAGACAACGGTATCGTGAGGTATCGCTTCAAACCCATAAGGTGCCTCAAGATGGCCACAGATAGATTAAAACAAGGTTTATAAAAAGTAAGTTTCATAACTAAGGCCCGTATCGTCAGTCGACCCTACAATTGTAGGGCGCGTTTATGGCCTCCTTGATTGTCATAGTCCTTTCTCTCCTTCAAAAGTTTCTAGATTACACTTGTCACGTGTCAGCGTCAGCGCTGTCCTATTCTGAAGATTTGTTTTCCTTTTAAATTGTAGGAAATTTCAGGCTGATAAAACATGATATAACTCAAAACCAAGCACAATTTGATGCAAATTGATGTTTGTGACATAACCTCAAAATAGAGCGCTGACACGGAGAAGTAGAAAACTATGACAATCCAGGAGGCCATAAAGGCGCCCTACAATTGTAGGGACGACTGACGATACGGGCCTAAATGACCTCAAACGAATAAGCAAAAAAACAAAATGTGCACTTGAGCAAACGCGTTAACAAAATTATAGAGAACGTTATACTCGACAACTTTCCTAATAGGCTCAAATTGTATTTAAAGAAAAGTATATGTCTTGCAAAAACTATTTCTGTGACTTGGGTTTTGAGCACCGACATGAGATTTTTTGAGTTGCAAACATCTTTCGAAGGCTTGTCCCTTTTCACTTTCTGCATCACTGCCAAAGAGAGTTCCGTGAGTGAGATGTTTTTTGGATGCTATATGACCATGTACATCACGAAAGTCCATGTCACTGGTGTCTCTCATCTGTTTGTATGGTCAGTCGGTCGATCTGTCTGTCTCTCCGCTAATCATTGGCCCACCTACGAGTATAACTAGAAATGTACTGATGAAATTTTGATGACACTTGCACACTATGTCAATGACGCATAAGATTTGTAGGTTTTGAAAGCTGGTCCAGTGGCTGATCTAGCGACAAAAAACGAAGGCAATAAAAATCGCTCAAAACTTGTTTTTGACATTTCAGAGGCTCCTGAACATTTTGAGAAAATGTCTTGTAGGGGATTAAGGTTGGGGGTTGTGGGCTGTTAAGGGTGAGGAAGAACATACCTTAATTTTTTGGCGCCAGTACATTTATAGGCTTCCAACTCCAACTCAATTCTACGTACCTATATGGCATATTCCATACATCCCACACATTTGCCTTCAAAACTTAGAATAAACCTGCTTCGAGCTGTGATACTCGTCCTGCCGGAAGTACATGGAGAAATTTCACATTTGTGATGGGTGGGTACTATGGACTAATTGCATGAGCGTGATTGACTGACTTGATCCATTTAATATTTTTGTTATACATAACTTTATTCTCCGAGGTGCTAACTTGTGTCCTTAATGAACTGTTGACAGCGGTGCGTAGGAAAAACAACAAACCTACTTGGCTCATTTTTCATCTTATTTTACTGGACTATTTTCCGCAACAAAAATCTATTAAGAGGCATACTGGTGATGTTGAAAGCATGCCCCTCCTTACGTATCGGATGGATTCATGTTTACTACGATGTTGCATGTAAGTAGGCAGTTTACCAGATAATAAATCGCTCTATCGAATCATCGACCCACCGATCTGGTGCTTCATTTTCTCGTGTTTTTAATGTTCGACCCGTGTAGGATGGGACGATTAAAATTTTGGATGAGAAATATGAATGCAGTGCATTGAAACAGTCAAGTAGATTGATTATGATTTGGATTATGTGTCTATAGTAAATATGACCAAACCAGAAATATATACAGCGCTTTCCAAAAAGCTCCCCCTGCCACGACCCCCCCCCCCCCCATATTCACTTTTACTTCTCACGCCTACTGACTAGGTTATATTGTAATCGCACAAAATTTAAAATAATATATATTGTTTCTAGGATGTTGTAATAATAATATTTATTCACTCAATGTACAAAACAAAATCAAATACCAAACAGCTCTTAAAACGTTGCATCTCGTCGGATTATCGAGCATTTTGTGAAGTAGGCCAAAACTTTCTCTTGAACTGCGGATTCGAAAATATTCACAAATTTCTTGGATGTTTCATAAGTTTCACATTTTAGATCATACTTGTGGAATATTTTAAGCGGGCACAAAATTCAAAAACTAGTTTTAATCTGCTTTGGCTTGTAGGTTTCCATAGTGTATTTGAAGAAAATAAAATTATATTGCTGATGTATTTATTAGTACGCCAGGTGTAAAACATAAAATTATATTTTGTATAATTCCTGATTTCTTTATAAACTTCAGGCGAGGTTAAATACGAGGGATGTCTTTTAAGTTTTGCATACGGAAATAAAACAACACGGTAGGTAGTTTTAAATGACTTTATTGTTTTTGGAAGTATTCTCCACGAAGATTAATGCACATCTGCATGCGCTCGAACTAATTTTCGAAGCACTTATTCCACTCGTTTACTGGCAAATCCAAAACGGAATTTTTGAATGCGTCAACTGCTTCTTCTGGTGAGTGGAACCTTTGACCACGCAGTCTGTTTTTAATTTTCGGCAAAGTAAAGAAATCGTTAGGACTTAGATCGGGACTATGTGGAGGATGGTCCAATAATTCCACGTTTTCTTCCGTTAAATACTGCCTTGTTTTTTAGGCTGTTTGCGAGCTTGCATTGTCTTGGTGGAGGATGATTCTTCTTTCGGGGTTGATTTATCGAAGCTCGGTGATGAACTATTGCCAAACAAATGGTGTTATACCAATCCGTAGTAACAGTTCTTTGCTTATTAAGAGGAATTGTTGCAATATGACACGGTTTTGACACAAAAGTCGCGACCATCTTTTTCGGAACACTTCGAGAACGGATGACTTTGTTGGCTTTTCTTCACCTTGGAACACCCAAACAGCCGACTATCGTTTATTTTCTGATTCATAACAGTAAATCCACGATTCATCACCAATAACAATGCTGTACACATTTTTTGAGTTTCCGGAATTGAAACGGTCAAGCGTTTTTTGACACCAGTTAACCCTGGATGCTTTCTGCTCTCCAGTCAACAGGTGGGGTATCCAACGACAAACTAATTTTCTTACTCCTAGTTCTGTGGCTGCCGTGTTTGGTGCACCCACCTTGGGATCGTCGCTAAGACTCACCCGTCCACGTTTGAATTCTCCATACCAACGGGAAATTGTCGACTGATGAGGCGCTTCGTTGCCGAAAACAGACAGTAACTCAGCAAGGCATTCTTATTGTGATCATTTTCTCTGAAAGTTGTGATAAATTATGAAAATGTTCTCGGTTGAGTTCCATTTTTTTAATGACTTGGTGACACTTAAAAATTGGTTCTATGCAAAACTTAAAAGACATCCCTCGTATAACCAAATAAAATGGGAAATGGCTTGCCGCTTTTTTTTTATGTTCCAGTATGCCGTGGATATCAACACGTAGAAAAAAAAGCCTACATGAGCTCAAAGTTTTTCCACCAGTAGTTTCCGAGGTGCAGGGTATCCAACTTGGGCAGTCCGTTCCTCATTATGCACGATATGTAATAGCTGTTCCTAAAAACATGTGCCATCTTTTCTTGAGGGAGAATTCAGTACTTTTCTTAAACTCTAATGCCCTAAGGGACAATGTTCTTAATTAGGTCTCATAAAAGTGGGTACCGGTGTCTTCACCCAACATTAGAAGCCAATGGGTAAAGTGGGAGTACATAGTCCATAGTTTCATTAGATATATTTCCCTTGCAATTTGGTTTTTGAACTGAACTCGTAACAACTTCTTGAAGCAACTTGGAATACATAAGCTCAAATTCGTGACCCCACCGATAAATTTCAATCCGGATCGACCATCCCTGGCACTCCGATCACAGAAAGAAGTAATGATTTCCATCCCCGATTTTTAATTGGCGAACTCCCACGGATTAAAACTTTCCCAGCATCCGAACTCTGGCGGTGGAATTTACTTTCGGCATTTCCCTCCGCTGTTTTGCATACAGATTAGCGGGGAGCCGCCCAGAATCCCGATGATCTGGATCTGGATCGACGACACCGCAGCTTCCAGTTCGACAACACAAAAGGACAGTCCGAACAACGGGAAAGACGAATATCGTTATCGGCGTCCCGGTTTTCGTTAATCGCCTTTATTAAAGATGAGAGAATTAATTGCAACGTGCTTACAAGGGGAGTTTTGAACTTTGTTGGTTAATGGTTCCGTGCTCATATTTCCATTGGAATTTCACTAACGCTTAGGTGGCACGATAACTATCCAGAAGATATTTTCTAAACGTTTTCAGATCATGAGACTTTGATAGATGACGGCTATTTGGAATGGAAGCAGGATGACTACGATTAGTGATGTAACGAATTTCAATTTTTAGGCATTCTGTGAATATTTGCCGCCGATTTTTGCGAATACGAATGCGAATATGCAGATTTTCTCCTTTATATACCGTCGTAGAATCATACTTTTAGGGGCAAAAGCTACGAAGCTTTTATTTTTGAATTAATACTTCTCTAGTTCGACTTGACAGATAATTAATTTATGGTTTAAAAAATAATGAGAACAAAAATTTCCAGGCTGAACTGAATATGTTTGCTTTCCATCTCTGTAACCACGTCTTGTCCATGCAACGTTGTGTGATGCTTTCTAAATTTAGAGCATACCCGGTTGTTTGCCTTCCGTCTCTAAGACTAGACCTATACGGTACTGAGGATTACTAAAAGAGATGAAACAATGTTTTATGCAATTGGTCTTTGTTGTAGAGACGTAAAGTAAACATACAAACGGTAACGACTAAATTGATCATGGCGCTTTGCTAAGGAAATTAGGGCACTTTGGATTCACAGGAAGTACTATAAAGCACTTCTTCCTATTTATCAGGGCGGATGCAATATGGACATTATATGCCGCTTTAATAAAGTCCGAACCCTACTCAGCTCCATCCGATCTTCCCCAGGGATCTAAATTGGGACCACCTTTATTTCTGTTGTTTATCAATAGCTTCTATGAAAATTTGGAATGTATGCAATTTTGTTTTGCTGATGACATGAAAATATATTCGTGTATAAGGGATATTCATGATTGTTTGGATTTACAAATGGAGTTGAATCGTAGTTAGATTTGGTGCGAGGTCAAGAATTTACATCTAACTTTCAACAAGAGCAAGGTTGTTAGTTACAGCAGTTCAAAACCCTTTCATGTGTTCAACTATAATATTGATGGTGCGTTGTTGGATAAATGTGATACAATCAGAGATTTGGGTGTTCTTTCTGAACAAAAATTAACAATTGCTCCTCATATTTCTCCACTAGGCGGTAGGACATCAGACTGTCAAAAGTAGATGGAAAAAGGCATATTTCATAAAAAGATAAACTATTTTCACGACTTCATCATGACGTGAACAATAGTTGTTTACGGTTTCAGCCACTTTTAACGCAGACATCATGTGACAGATAAAAGCACTGCAGGAAAAACATGTTCTCAAAAAATCTAACTCCTCCGTTATCAAGTTTTTAAGGGTCACATTTCGAGCTAGAGAAGTTGTTAGTTGTGCCGACATATGCTCCTCTCCTCTGCACGCTTTTGTTCTATGACCTCCCTGTTTGACAGCAGCTTTTTCACCCAGCTGTCTAACCTGAGTTGTTGAATAACTCCAGCGAACTTCCAAAGCAATTTCATGGCAACTGCTATACAGCATAAAACGGTTGCATCGTTGGGCTGTTTTCCTAGCTAAGTGCACTCAATGCCAATCCAGGTATATCCCAAAGACACAGTCTTGCCAGAAGTCAGTCCCTCAACAACCTTACTCAGGTCAAAAGTCATATGAACAAGACCTCTTTATTTCTTTACGTCATTCGCAATACTCGGAATTTTAAGATTCTCACCATAAAAGAACGAAACTCATAAGGTGTTGTATACACAGTGTAAGATGGATGAAGTAAAAGGAAACATATTATACTCGTACAATAAAATATATAAGATTTGTGGAAATATAAATTACCTGAATTAGAACATACTTTCAACAGCACTTTGGCGGCAATTAATCTACTTTATAGAAAATCTCATCGCCGTTTGCCGTTTTCAATCAGATTGACTAATTTGAATGAAATGACTGAAATGCGCATTGCGACAAAGTTTCCAAGAGTGTTTGCAACTTTCTAAAGTACCAATTTGTGATTGAACTGCGTTCATTTCAGTTCTTTCATTGCAGTTTCTGCTAATTTTCATTTGTTTCTGTGAGTAGATAGTAGCTGAATCAATAATGAAAGAGACCTGCCTGATTTTAAGGTATTGAAACCAGTAATGTAAAGTTTTAGTGTTTACGATTTGTTGAGTATGTTATTCGTGGAATTAATTTCTTTTTGCGTCAGAGTGTAAAAAACATAACGTAAGTAGAAAGTTTTCTAAACAGCTAGTCCAAATCATTCTATCATAATATAATACTCCATTTCCTGTCATTATCCGTATTATTCTATACCATGGCTCAATATTAATTGGCAATTGCCGTTGTGAATAGCTTGCTATTGGTAAATTTGGTTTTGAATTCTTGTGGGTCTTTCGAGAACATATTTTTGAAATAATCTGCCTTGAAGAGTATCGGTGAAACTTGTAATGTATTTACAATTATAAAAAGCAGCACTCTTCTACAACATACACTTAAGTAATGCTAGCACCAGCTCTGAAACTTTGATCTGATATGCTATCAGTTTCTTATCTCGACATCACACATTGCAGCCAAGGTTGGCGTCAACTTGATATCATATACTTATCATTCAGCGTCAACGTTGGCCAACCCCGGAAAGTGCGTGTTGGTTTAGCATTCACATATTGTAGAGTTGGCTTGCGATTGTCCATATACAACGTATTTAAGCCTTTATCAGCGCGTCAGTCGGTCAAAAAATTTCCTCACCTTTTTTTTTGGCATTAGAACTAGGTGTTCAACTGTTCATGCAGCCAGTCACTAGGCATTATATGAATGATGGATCATCGGTTTGATTTTAGACTCATGTTTTTCCAAACTACTGTTATAGTGGGATGGTGCTAGGGATCTTCACAGAGGACACTTCTTCACGCCTCAGGGGTCAGTCCGGGCGTCTTCTTACACGTGCACAGGTAGACCATGGTAAGAGGAGGGATATAACAAATAGGGAGGCAACAAGGGTATGTGCGGTGATTATAGGTTTATATTGATTGAATGGATACATTCAGACAGGCTGACGTACATTTCCTTTCTATTTAAGCATAATAGATGTATGAGGTTAAAAGGAGTCGGTACACTTAAGTCCATTACTCTGTTCATTAATCGCAGAGATTGATTCCTATTGTTCTAACAACCGAAGAATAGGTGGTCGAGATATCCAATTTCATATCTTGTGCATAGGTCAGTGTCCAAATCTGATCGTTATCAGTGTCGTTAAGGTTTTTCTGTAGTATTTGTAATTACTAAACCAGGTGGATCTGGGGATTTCGTGTTGTATTAATACATATCTATTTATTCTTGAGTTTTTATATTTCTCCCATATTGTTTCCCAATCAGTTCTCGTTTGTTTTTTTTTTTGCAAATGAATATATTCATCTATGAGGAGAAGGTGGTCCAAGACTTCTCCAGAAGTAACGCTTTCTTTGGCCCTCTCATGGAGCTTAATTCCGACATGGGCTTTTACCCATACCAACTTTATTTTGTAGTTTTTGGCATTTAGTTTATGAAGGAACTGCTTTATTTTCAAGATATATGTGTTAATATAAGGGTTATTTATGTTTATGTCGACTGGATTAGCTATACTTTGCAAGATCGACAGACTGTCTGATATTAAAATCCCTTTGATCATTACCTTGGAATCTAAGTATTCCAAGGCATTGAGAACAGCAATGGATTGAGCTGTGAATATAGATGTAGGATTGTTCAATTTGAGTTTTGATGAATGTCCACTGGGTTGTACAATAAAGGCACAACCTGTTCCTTTGCTGTCCTTAGAAGCGTCAGTATAGATGTTAACGTATTCTGGATACGGATTCAACAGTTCTCAGTTATTCGGCAGAGGGAATGTAGTTTGGTAAAATGCTCAAGGGAAATGAAAAATTCTTGAGAATTCCGGGATGATTGGAATTTAGATAAATTGTCTCTCTGTAGTCTGGAATTCCTAAATGATTCACAAAGGGGGGCGATTGTTTTTTCTGCCAATATTTGGTGAGGTCGTAAGAGTTTAACGTGCTTATTTTTTTATTATATGGT